GCCGCTCGCTGCTCGAAGTAGCGAAGTGTTTCTACCGATCCAAAACAAGACAAGCCGCATTTCGAGAAACTTCAAGAAAGCCACCCGGCTTTTTTGAAGCCCCCGTTGCCCCCCGTCACTCAGTCTATCCACGCATGCACTTCCCTTTCTCTCTAATATAATCGGAGAACGTCAAACAAAGCTCCGCGTCGAACGTCCTATCAGAGCGCGACGATTCCCTCCGGTTTATGCAAAGAAGTGGTCCGAGCATAATCCATGCTTATCCCTTTCCAGGGGCGGCAGTCCAGGGAAATAATCCCCTCTAATCCCTTTTGAGGGGAGGGACCCTTTTTTTTGGGTTCCACCCAGGCCAGAAACTATACAACACCCGTTAATGTGCTCAGACAGATATGACTGAAACCACAAACATAATGGCCAACAACTCCATATTCCGATAAGTTGTGCACTAATAGTTCATGGTGCACAATGTCAAAGGCTTTACTCAAGTCAAAATAAATGGCGTCGACCTGCCCTTGGCTGGAAACAATAGGGCCAACGTGACTCAAATACTCAACTAAGTTAGTTTCAACACTTTTAGATTTAACAAAAAAGTGTTGAGATTCACTTAGTATTTCTTTGAAATAGCTAGAAAGGTGCACTTCTACCACAATTTCAAACAGTTTCGAGAATGTGGTTAGTAAGGAAACGAGTTTATAATTTCTAACATCTGCAGAGTCCCCTGATTTGAAAATAGGCACCGCAATGGCTGATTTCCACTTTTCTGGGAAAATACAGTTTTGAATAAACAAGTTAAAAAGGTAGGTCAAGACCGGCACAAACGCATCAGAGCAACCTTTAGCAATAAACGCTGGTACGCTATCGAAACACAATAAAAGTTTAGGTTTCAAACGTCTAATACAATCATGCACTACAGAGTGATCGACGCTAAATGGGGCAAGAACACTATCAGTTTTTGCAACAATGTGATTACCGTATTTATTCGAATATAAGTCAACCTTTTTTTTTTTTTTCGAGAATGTCAAAAATTAATGGTCGACCTATAATCGTGATTGACCTAGATTTGCGACCCTACCGAGGGCATGAAGCTATCGAATCACCGAGCCGGCGTTGCCGTAGAGCCGTGCCGCTTGTTTCCAAAAGCTTTTGGTGCACGAAAACAACCGCAACAGCAGCAACCGACAGCCCCTTGCTGCCGGAACTGCGGAACCGCCGTTCATGCGCATCCCTCGGGCGTCGGGTTTCGCCATCCAACACCACCTCCTAGGAATAAGGCCGTAGCGCTCTTCTCGTGACGTCGCAAAGGAAGGCCATCGGGGGTGCGCGTCGAAGCGAAGGCAACGCGCTTCGATCGAACGTCGTAACGCGCTTTTCGTCACACATGCGTGTCTTATTAGCTAAAATGAAAGCTGCACAATGCAACGGGTCTAAGGAACACTTTATTACATGGGCAAAACATTACACCGCTAAATAATCGATGCGAAATGGCACGAGGTATGCGTAGAAGACGTGTATAGAAAAATCTGATTGTTTTAAGTCGAAAATATTGAGTCACGCAGTTATCGCTGTAGGAATGCATATTTTATGCAGAAATATTTCGACAAAATGGCGAGACACGCAGTGATTGGACACAGCAATACAGATCAGTTAAAAATCAGGTAGACGTATCCAATGCGGACATGGCTCGAAGTGTCACTTATGATCACATAAGCGATGTTATCACGTGCAGTCACTGAATTAAAATTAATGTAATTCCGACCGAATGACAGTATGAGGCCAACAAGTCAGCTTGCGACGCTCATATAATCACTCAAAACAGCGAGCTGATTTAATCCAGTGTCATTTAAACAAAATATATTAACTTTTCCGTGTGGCAGGGGTACTAAACTTACTAGTTACAGTCAACTAATTTACTTCTCCCTATGGTCTCGAGCTGCCTAAGAACAAAATATAACCTATTTTGTATACAATAATACTATTACCTCAATACAGTTAAGATTCTAGTATAAATGCGGTAAAGACAACAAAATAACATTAGTATAAACACATATGCACAAACAACGCACTTTCAACAATCACGCAAACTTGTTATTTAACTTCCAGTAAAAACTAGGTTACCACACATCGGCATATTTACAAATGTCGACGCAATAGCAAACGGATAACGACTAAGAACAAAATTCCATTCTATCACGAGATTTAGAAATAAAAAAAAATCAACTCCAGCACTTTACTTGTGTCTTGCATGACCAAGAAAGCCCGTAAATAAGTTGTTCCTTACCTGTCGATCGTATCCATACGTCCCACTCGATCCATCACGAAAACATTTGAACACAAACTTCTAGAAGCCTCTCTCTGTCGAGAGAGAGGTCATTAGCCAGTGTCATCGTTCACTAGTTGCCACACACGTCACTCAAACCGTAGCAGGACTTGTTTCGCGAATCCACGTAAATGCCGTAGTATCAAGCAAACACAAAAAAAAACTACCCAAGACTATGGTGACAACAAAACAAAAAAAAAAAAAGACAGGTAGGAGGATCAAAAGAACCAAACACACACACACACACGAGAGCAGCACCAGCAGTATGGGACGAGAGGCTTAACATTGGTGACCCATCTCTTGCTCGTGTGCGCGCTCCCTCCCTGCGGCGATGACTGGATTTTTTTTTCGGTTCCTTTCCCTTCTGAAATGTCTCAGCGTTCCTTTGCAGACAGTCAGCAGCTCACACACAACGTAAGTTTACCAGAATCGGAGCTCGTATGAGGGAAGATGTCGCATCGGAAATTCAGAGCCGGTTCATTCAAAAGGTGTGGGGAGCTGCGGGACTGCGCGTCGTCACGCAGTTATGGGGATAATCATAAATATGAATTTGATACTTTCAACCTTGGTAACATGTATATTATGTTTATATATATATAATAAATTGTACAAGACTGCGCTTTTAAAATGTGTATTAATGTCGGATAAACGCGCACGAACATTACCGTGCCGCTCGAGAAGAAACATTTTTTTTCACAATGATATGCATCGACAGCTGAAATTTTCTCACGTAGTTGCGCCATGGCCTTCCTTGCTTTGACATTGTGACATACCCACTCGGAGCGCTACGACCTTAATTCTAGGAGGTGTTGCGCCATCGCGCCTGTAGCTTTCCCCTCGCTGGGCAAGGAAAGGGAGAAAAACGCGATGCGCCATCCACCTTGCCCCCCATTCCTCTCCCCCCCAAATGTACACAAAAAAATGAGACAACGGAGGTTACTTTAGCTTGTTGCTTGCAAGGGCTCGCGTATTGCTCACGACGACTCCGGCCTTGCTCGCGTATTTGTATTTGGTCTTCCGTAGCTTCGCCCAACTCTACCTTCTTTCGTTTCTTCTCGTCGTCGTTTTATAACGAACGGTGTCAGTGAGATATTGTTGCGAATTTGCGAGAATGTCAGCCAAGCTGACGAAGCTTCGGACGACGATGACATGTCCGGAAGTTCTGACGACGATTAAGTTTTTGGCATCGCCCTGCGATTTAGCTGAGAGTGCTGTGAATAAAGGTTTGTTTATTTCTTTTGCCCCGACTTTTCCCTGTTCCTAAAAAAAAGAAAAAAAAAGGTTGACCTCTATTTGAATTAATTTTTATTTATTTTCTGTGTGTTCAATAAATAGGGGTCGACCTATTTTCGGGTAAATATGGTAAGCACTCGTGTCTCTGAGCTTGCTGATTGCATATCACACAAACATACACTTGAGAAGTTAGTCGAAAACATTTCGCTGACAACACGGTCAGAATGAAAACCGGAATCATTTGACAACGTAACAGACTTGGCTTCTGTGCCCAATAACTTATTTTTGTACTTCCAAATATTGTTAGGATTTTTTAGCAGTTCATTTACAGTGTTATTCCTGAAGTTTCCTTTATCTCGCTGATAAAGAATCCTTACTTCGGCCTTGCCCTAAATTTCGCATACCAAGCGTCACTGTAGCCATGTTTATAATAGGGAGTTTTAGAATAACGCATGTAATTTTAGTGCACACTAGCACTAAATTTAGCCATTGCATTAGCGCATGCGATACAAGAGAGCTTTAGAATAGCGTTTCTCCGCCGCGACGCAAAAGCCCAAGCATCTCGCGCTTGCAACGCTCCCAAGATAGTCACGATTTTATTTCACAGACGAAATGCTGTAACTTGAGAAAAAAACAAGACTTTTGGTTCAGAGTAACAGCTAACATTTGTTTAAACGTGAGAATGCGACGCGAGCGCTCGATTGGTGGTGTCTGCGTTCATCGCCTCGGCAAGAGTACTGACCTTCGCCGATAAACGTCCACTCGTTGCAAGCATCAAGTTGCCTGTGAACGTTGCCCACCTTACTGGGTTTTTCAAACCGAGTGCAATGTCGTCCTGTATTGAAAATCGCAGTCGCGAGGATGCCTCCGATGTCGCGCTCACGACGCCACCAAAGTGCCCGCAGCCATAGTCCTGGGGCCGCCATTTTTTTAACTGTGCTCGTCTTGGCTTTAACCAACTTCTCATCACGAATCCTCCTTGGAGGAGCACAAAGACCCCTTTGCATATGCACGCGATTTCCGAGAAATAGTGCACACAAAGCGCAAAATGTGGTTAGCGTTTGGCGCATGCGCAGCGGCGACGACGCTATTCTTTGCATATGCAAAAAATAGTGTCGTCGCCACTGCGCATGAACCGGAACCCCGCGCCACCCCTATTGACGTCACAGCGCACGTGACTCGGAAGATAGTAAAGGAGTTGAGAGGCGCTGAAAACCTCAATGTTTGTCCATTTTAAAAATAAAAACTAGAACATGCAGGCAAAAGTGTTTTTTGTTCTTTACTTTAAAAAGGTCGAGACACCAACTCCTAAATTTAAGCAAAGTATGGAAACTGTTGCACAGCTCCTTTAATGGTGCCAGTTTCATTTGAGTGCTTCCGTTAACCGAATGGGCGATCTTGAGTGACTATCTTGGTAGGGCTTTGTGTATCGTAATACGCGTGGTCTTTTCTAGGTGATGGAGGCACATTGTTGGGGCAGACCAGCTGCCCACTGAAAGTCACTGAGGAAATTTCGTTTCGGTGCTGTTCCTGCACCTATGTCACCAGAGATCAGCATGAAATTGTGAGCCACCTGGCTGCCCATGGTGATAAACAATCCAAGTGCCAGAATCCTCCCATGTCTGGCTTGAAGTCCCAAGTGCTTGGCAACACTCAAAAGCACAAGAGTGATAAGCCATTTAAGTGCAAGCTTTGCCCCCAAGAGTTTGCTTATAATTCCCTTCTGACCTGTCATAATCGAACACACAGTGGTGAAAAGCCATTTAAGTGCAAGCAGTGCCCCCAAGCCTTTGCTCAAAATTCTTATCTGCAAATTCATAATCGAGTGCACACTGGTGAGAAGCCATTAAAGTGCAAGCAGTGCCCCCAAGCCTTTGCTGATTATTCGTCTCTGAGAATTCATAAACGAATGCACACTGGTGAACACCCATTCAAGTGCAAGCAGTGCCCCAAAGCCTTTGCTGAAAATTCCCTCCTGCGACGCCATAATCGGACACACACAGGAGAAAAGCCATTTAAGTGCAAGCAGTGCCCCAAATCCTTTTCTCAAAATTCCCATCTACGAAGCCATAGTCATTTGCACACTGGTGAGAAGCCATTCAAGTGCAAGCAGTGCCCCAAAGCCTTTGCTCAAAATTTCCTTCTGACCCGCCATAATCAAGCGCACACAGGTGAAAAGCCATTTAAGTGCAAGATTTGCCTCAAAGAGTTTGCTCATAATTTCCTTCTAACCTCACATAATCGAGCACACACTGGTGAAAAGCCATTTAAGTGCATGCAATGCCCCAAAGCCTTTGCTCAAAATTACCTTCTTACCCGCCACAACCAAAGACACACTCAGAAGCATGAGAGTGATAAGTTGTATGAGCGTAAGCTGTGTCCTGAAACCTTTACCCATAGTAACAGTCTGATCTACCACAGTCAAACACACACAGGTGAAAAGGCATTTAAGTGCAAGCTTTGCCCCCAAACCTTTGCTGAGAATACTAGTCTGAGACGCCATTATCAAACAGACTCTGGTGAAAAGCCATTTAAGTGCAAGCAATGCCCCAAAACTTTTGTGAAAGAGTCCCATCTGCGAAGCCATAATCAAACACACACTGGTGAAAAGCCATTTAAGTGCAAGCAGTGCTCCCAAGCCTTTGTTCAAGATTACCATCTGAGAAACCATAATCGAATGCACACTGGTGAAAAGCCATTTAAGTGCAAGCAGTGCCCCAAAGCCTTTGCTCAAAATTCCTATTTGATAAGGCATAATCGAGTGCACACTGGTGAAAAGCCATTTAAGTGCAACCAGTGCCCCCAAGCCTTTACACAAGATTCCCATCTGCTATCCCATAATCGAATACACCGGTGAAAAGCCATTTAAGTGCAAGCAGTGCCCCAGAGTCTTTGCTCAAAATTCCTATCTGAGAAAGCATAATCTAACACACACTGGTGAAAAGCCATTTAAGTGCAAGCTGTGCCCCCAAGCTTTTGCTCAAGATTCCCATCTGCAAAGCCATAATCAAATGCACACTGGTGAAAAGCCATTTAAGTGCAAGCAGTGCCCCCAAGCCTTTGCTCAAAATTCTCATCTGCGAAGCCATAATCGAACGCACACTGGGGAAAAGCCATTTAAGTGCAAGCAGTGCCCCCAAGCTTTTGCTCAAAATTCCAATCTGCGAAGCCATAATCGAATGCACACAGTTGAAAAGTGCCCCAAGCCTTTTCTCTAATTCCAGTCCGATCCACCATTATCAAACAGTGTTTAAAAGCCTTACAAGTGAAAAGAACGCCCTAAAAGCTCTGCTCGGAATAGTAGTTTATCTGCCAGAACCGGATGGACTATGCAGAATGCCTTGCAGTTGACCCGTAAGTTAAGCCTACCCCGTGTTTAATCACTTAACTCGTGCAGAAATCGATGCCATTTCCCCCCCCAATCGAAGCATACATATACCGGAGTGCAAGATAGGTCCCAAAGCCTTCGCTTGGATTAGTACTTGAGCTCACCACACTGAAGCACCTATGCGCAATAAGCCTCACTAGTTCCAGCTGCATCCCAGGGCATTTTCTAAGTGGTCTGATCAGGCACATGCTAACAGATGAGGTTGAGGAACCCTGAGGGCAATTGTATAAAGCCTGCAGCAAGTAGGCCTTTCATATGCCAGAAATATTCAAGAGGCTTTGATGAGAATTCCAGCTTGCTTGACCAGTTAGTCTGGCTCTGTACACAGAGCCAGACTATAGGGCCTTGCTGTCCTCCAAACACCGCTGTTTTTCATCACAATAATGTACTGGGCAGTAGGAAATGATTCTTTGCCAGCTGGGATGTAGAGGCTGGGTCAATGAATTGGAGATATTGTTTAATGTTTTTTCAGGGCAGCTTCTCCGTGTTCTACACCTGAGCGTACATTGGGGGTCATGCTTTAGTTCTTGTTCTGAGTTCTTTTCCAATTACTCGAGGTGTTCTCCTTTGAGGTATGGTCTAACATGTTTGTAAAGAATGTTGTCATTGTTTTCTTTTGATATCACTCCTATCTATCGTAAAACACCGCAGAAGCATGCGTTTCATTCAAGTGCCCACCTTTAACATTTCCCAAACTTGGGAACTCTACAAATTATACGTTAAGCGCCCAATTTGGCCGGACAAGTGCCCGTATCTAGGTTAACCCAGTTTTCTGTGACAGTGTGGTGGCACTCCTCTGGTATTTTACGTTACGTGGAAGGTAGAAACCTACAGAAAAGTAAACGAGCTACCACAATTCAGTTCTGCTATTAAAATGATAAATAAAAGGTAGGCAATTTCAGTTCCGACGCTATTGTACATCTTTCATCTGTTGTAGATTTTAGTACTGAAGTGCGAAGTAACTTTGTTTCAAGATTTTTATTTTGATGTCTCGTAGCATGCCAAGACTTCATTTTAGCAGTTACCTCGGTGGGGGACCAATTGCCAAGTGTGTGTGTGTGTCCTCGGCAGTGCTTTCTGCTGCCGACTGGGGCATGGCTAGTTGAATACCTGCACTGCTCAGCAGGTTTTGCTGTAAATTGACATTGTACCCATCTTTGATACTACGTAACGCCCCTTTAGAATTGAATTGACGAAAGGTGTTGATAATTGGAACTAACACACTCGTAGTGTTTTCACGTTCCTTCCCTGCACTGGCATATTCATTATCACGTATCTATACGACACCTGCCTCGAGACATGACTTTGTATACCAATCAGGTGGTCACAATATTCTGTTGCCTTGTGTTCTTGTTTTTGACGGTTGTTTCCCTGTTGCCTGGCTTTGTGTGACAATGTCTTAGATCGTAAGTGCGACTGTACACCAGACAATGCCTATTGCTTATTCCTTATATAATGCACTGTAGTAGTTTGTCTTTATCCTTCCTTGATGGCAGAAACTCTTACGAGGGGCGTACTATATTGATTCACAATTTATTATTTTGCCGCGGTTACCGGTCAGTTAGAGGGCGACAGATAGGTCCACCTTCTCGGCAGGTTATTCCTACAGCAGACTGCACTCTCATCACCAATGGGGCGAGTTTTTTATGCCCCACTGGAACCACTTTTTGGAAGTTCATTGCAGCTTCACTTGGACAGCCACTTCCAGCTAATCAATGACTGCAAAATGGCATCCTCGCAAAGGTTTCTTGATGGCCTCGTTCAGGCGATAACCACTCAAGCCAGATTCGACCGGACACATGCACGATGAAAAGCCTTGTGGGACGTGGGAAGCGTCGGATAGATGGCTGATCCTGATAGTGCCTTGGTCGATCACGGTGTTGCATGCATTCACGTGAGGCTGGGCTCCGCCGTTGTTCTGACGCGTCGAACGCCCCGTTAAACATTTAGTTGTGCCCAACCGGGCCCCCAGTAATTGTAACCTGTTCGAGGGTCCATAAAAACCCCTAGGACACCATTTTGTGCTGGCACAATACACTTCCAGAAAATGGTTCCGGCAGGGCATGAAACGGCTGCCACGCAGCTGGTTCAAGCGCAGTCGGCTCTGGGAAGGTTCTGTCGAGGAGGTGGACATAGTATCCACCTGGCACTTGCGGTAGGATACTGTATTCTAAATCAGTACGGTATGCCCCTCGTATAATTTTAACAGAATGATGCGAGTCAGAACAGCCAAGTCTCGAGGAATACAAACTCGACCAATTTTGCTTGGGTTACCCTTGAATTGTTGCCCAAAGTGTGTTTATTTCTGCATTGTGTGATCATTTGTAGACATCTTCAATCGTCGTGGTATTTTAATGCACTATCATTAGTTCCCTGATACATGCACCGACCTTGGACTGGTTGGAAAACATGTATTGAAAGTTTGCAACATTGCCACGGAACGGTACTGCGGTTCTGCGCAACACCTAGCGACCGAAGATTGCCGGTGGAGTCCCCCTTCGTCGATTTTAGCGCTACGCAGTGGGGGACGGCGGGTGGATCACTGGGGCGCGTGTCAACCCACCCTGGCCCCCCGTTCATATCGCTCTGCGACAACAGTCTGTGGATGGCTCGTTACAAAATATAAACCCATCTTGGGCCACCCATACATGCTGCCTCGCGGCGCCCCGCGGCGCCCCACCAGCAGCTGAAGTACGCCCTAGTCCCCCTGTCCCCCACTTCACCTCAGTTGCTAGGTGTTAAGTCACGCGGCCGGCATGCAAGTGCACGCTTCCGACGCCCTCGGAAGCTCCTGCCGCAAGCTTTGGAGACCGTTGTAAGCACACGGGCTGCGGTTCCGTTCTTTGGCCCGCCATGCCATTCAAGACGCGCAGCTTTCTTAGCATGTCGCCGGGCCATAAGGCGCCTCTACGGACATGTATGCAAAACAACAAAATGGCTCTGTCAATTTCTACGCATGGCACGCAGGTCCTTTATGCACATGTTAAGTGTCTGCTCGCACCAAGGAGAAGAGGAATTTGGGGAGTGTTCTGCCCCACAAAAGTGCCGAGAGGCAGCATTCACAATACTTTTTTTATACATAACCGCTGCGCGAAATGCTAGCGCATTTTTTCGAGAATCAGCGTAACAACAACAATAATTTTGGCCCCTTTTTTTTTCTTTTGTTTACGTGAAATGTGCAGAATATAAATGTTTAATCAGACTTCTGTTTCTCTTAAATAAAGGTTGACAGTTCAAGCTTTCGCAGTGGTAATATTTATTTTCTCCGGTGCAGCCGAAGTAAATGTGTCGCGAGCAGAGTGGCTCTGTACAGGGTGAAACAAGGAGACGCCAGGCTCTTTAAATCGACCGGAAAATTCGGTTTCTTAACCTATCGCGCTACGACTTTGTGCAGCGTTGCCCACAGATGGTGCATTTTTTTTTTTTTGTAAAATTTGCAAAGAGCGAGCTTGCCTGAGAAAAAAGTAAAGAAAGTTTTGTTAAATAATATTCAGATCCACATTTTGTAGCATAATTAGAGATGTGACGAAAATCGCCAAATTTGATCATGCTGAGAGCCAAGCGCCATCTATCGTGTGGTATACAAAGCAACTACAGTAGGGCCAACGTTACTCAAACACTCAGTTGGGAAACTCCCATAGAGACAGCTTTGAAAAAGTGGCCCCAAACTGTCTCCGAGCGCCGAGCTAATGACAAACACAACGCCACCATTTCTCCCGCAGCGGCCACTCGACAAACTGCACGTAACTTCTATTTTGGCTTTAAAGGGATACTTCAACAAAATTTGAAATATTCCCGTCGTGTTCAAAAATAGGTTGAATATGATCCACAATATCCGTAAATGACAATCGCACGTTTGTATTTTGATCCTGGTGGCTGTATTTTTCGTCATAAACGGCCCACTCTGGCAAGCGCTCGGAGAAGGCCCAGCTTAGAGCACGTGACATCCAACGCAATCGTGACGTTGGTCGTCTCAAGACGAGCAAAGCTACGGCGAGGCTGACGTCGAGAGGATGGCCTAGTCGTTCCAGCCACCGAAGCGGCTGCTTTTGTACGAGTTTTGAGTGACGGGTTAATCTTCTATAATCTTCTAGGGGGACAATAGCGACTTCTGCGACACACAAAAGGGATTCTCGGGAAGAGGGGAGTTCCTCCTTCCCCCCTTCTCTCTTCGTGGCCGGAGACGAGACAACCTCCGTCACTAGCTTTCAAGGTTCCTAGACGAGCATTAGAAACGAGGCGTTAGCGACATCCACCAGGTGCTCTTTGCTAATCGTTTAATTCGTTTTAAAATTTCTTTTCGAGACTTTTTTAACAAGATATTGGTATGTTCCATGTGATACTGCTCTTTTGAACACATATAGACC